AGACTGATCATTACATTTCCAGAGAATTCTCAGAAGCAATAAATGCTGGAGAATCACAGAAGTGCTTTGTTTAAAAAACTGAGAGGCAAAACCAGGAAAGATTCAAATTTAGTGAAGAAGTCTAATCTGTAAAGCTATTTTTAGAACACCATTACAGTGGATATAAGTGATTCAAAAGACTAAGAGAAATGAAAGTTATTGTAACACATCAACATTAGATTGGTTAACCCAAAGAGGTTAATTATCCTCATCTCTGCTCTGAATCAAGAGCTAATAGTGAGTCATATACTTGTATTTTAATTAGACGTACACTGAGGTTTAGATCAGAGATGCTTCTTAATATACAGCTGTTAAAGAACACGAGATGCAGTACAGGAGATCTCAAAGTAAAATCACCAAACATGAAAGAAATTCATCCATCATAGAGGCAAAGGGTTTTCAGTTAAGGGGGGAAGCAAGGTGAATTTCACACAGATATTTACATGTCCAAGGAGTTAAACAGAACTTGTTTTAGTTAAAAAGCATAGCTGTTCTGTTTCCATGAAAAGGAAGAAATGAAATGAGTTCTAGTTAAAATTACAGTTTCTATTCAGACCCTTCTGGGAGATTTCAAAGGGAAGACTCAGGATAAAAAAAAATTTGCTGAAGATTAGATGCTGCTTGACAAAGGGCTGTCTAACAAGAAGGTGCTCCATGGAAGAGCAGAATGGGGTTGGCTGGTTGTGGAGGGTTTTTTTTTAAAAAACACCTGATTGTACCTTAACAGGAAAAGACAGATATGACAACCTTTGTGATTTAAGCTTAGTGTAAACAGATGGCAGAATACAAACAATTTATTCACCTATTACTTCCATGAATATTCATACAAAGTCCCTATTTTGTGAATAAACACTTCCACTGAAGTTTATCGGACTTTCTGATGTGAAGCAATATACTGGGCTGCATACTTGAAGCAGAGAGGATGCAAGAAAGTACTGTGTAATGAAACTATTGAAATGCTTGAGAATCCAAGATAACTTGTAATTTCCAAAGTTGCTTGTTGATTTATTATGACGCTTTTTGATTCATTGGTTCCACAGCAGTGTCAAGAAACTGTTTATATGTTTTACATGGGTTTAATGTAATAAAATAATTATACTTAACACTCTAACATCCTTTATTAACTTACTTCTGCCTTTCAACATACAGAACCCCCCAAGAACTCCTAGGATATGAAGACACAGAAACATGACACATTCAGCACCAACATTTTCACTAGTATGGTTATAAGTAATAATGCCATGTTTACAAATATAAAGCAGTTTTTTTATCTAATCCTCCAAGTTCATGTGACTTCATATGACTCATATGAAGTCCTGAAAGAATGAGAGAATTGCCCTAAACAGATAACAGCTTTCAGAAGCAGTTGGGGTTGTAAAACTCTTCAGTAGAATTATAAAATATACTGCTCTACTTTTACTTTCATATTTTTAAGTGGTATTATAGTTTCAAAATACTCCAGTAGAGCATTTCATTAACAAAAATGAAAAACGTAAGGTGTTCCACTGAAATTTGCACTGAAAGTAATGTCTCTAATGTATGCATATAAGGAAACCAACAGTAAAAAAAGCTCACATATTACTTGTACATAGTCAGTAGCTAAGTTGTAGATAGTTAGCTGCTACTCAGTTTGAGTCACATTTGATCAACACGTGAATGCTGAGCAGAATCTAGGTAGTCCTGATTTGAAAAGAGGAGAAAAGCTTACAGATATGACATCAAGGGAACTTTTGAAAACACAGACTCTAAGATACACCTCTGAAGACAGGATGTTTTTCAGATATTTAAGCATACCATAACCCTGGACAGTGCCGCAGATGTCACTCAAAGTGTTCTGCTTGAGTCTCATCAATGCCCTGTAAAGCTGAACAGGAGAGCAGAAGCCTATGGATGTGTTAAAGGAGGTTTATAAAACAGAGGGAGAATGACTTTTTACACAGGCACATAGTGATATCGCAAAGGGGAATGGTTTTAAACTAAAAAGAGGGAGATTTAGGTTAGATATAAGGAAGAAATTCTTTACTATGAGGGTGTCTAGGGCAGTTGTGGATGCTCCATCGCTGGAAGTGTCTAAGGTCAAGTTGGGTGGGGCCTTGAGCAAACTGGTCCAGTGGGAGGTGTACCTGTCCAGGACATGGGAGTTGGAACTAGATGATCTGTAACGTCCCTTCCAACCCAAACCATTCTATGGTTAAATCATGAATTAAAGCTGGGGCACAAGTACTGTTGCTATATTGCACAGGCTCCAATGGGCTCAGGCACTGAAGGCAGCTTGGAGCCTGATGTATGCACCAGCTACTCTTTATTATAAGGACCCTAAAGCATGTCCACACTCTCCTCTTGTGCTGCAGTGAACCAAAACGTTCAATTTCCTGTTCAGGAGGGAATAAAATTTCTTGTACTCCGATATAAATTCATGAAGTACATTTGAAAAGGATTTGAGAGTGTATTTTTACAACAATATTATTTATACCACACCACAATAAGCACTAGGGAATTAGGAACAAGTGCACTGTGTCAGCCAACAGTAATTATACTACAGTACTCAGAGTCTCTTCATATGCATTATAATAGTTTGTGCTAAAAGTAGTCCAGCTCTGTTTAGCACTAAGTAAAACTCGACCCTTTTTCCTTCATGGAATTTCTAAGAACAAGAGGAGGAATTTTAATATCCTTCCATATCAGTATTATTTCACAAGATCACTGTAGTCCCTGTTCAAGTATCCATTTTTTATTCCTAATCTATACTTACACTTTCTAAATTTAAATCAGAACATTCTCTTCAGTATTGCCACAATTCATATTTGAGTTCATAAATATCACTGAAGTGACACATAAAAATAAGAAATATTTCTTTCTGTATTGGCTTTATGTATTTGACTGAAATGGCCAAATGTTTTAAGCTTGTGAGATTTGGGGTTATTCAAATAAGATTTCCTTGAAAAGTCTGGAAACGACAGCAACTAACCCAAGCCTAAATTATATCTCACTGCTGCTGAGAAACCAAAGTTTTAGACTGAGTACTTCATTTTACCATGAAAATGGCTGGGGTTTAATTGCATTTGCACCCAGAAGGAACTACTGGGGAATTAAATTTGCCAGATTTGTTTTCAATGTAAAATGTATCTGACATAAAATTAATACAAGCTACCATAATTTTTCAATTTCTGCAAGAGCCCCTTGAGCAACAAGTGCAAGATGTGCCTCAGCTGGTACTGAAAACCCTCTCTCTCTCTCTCCCTAATCTTGAGCATAGTTATGTTCATGCTATTTTATCTCTAAGAAGTGAGTATTCTCCAAGGAAATTCCGGATTCAGAGCAGCAATTCAAACTCAGTGAGAGAAAGCTTCTTTGTTTCAGAATTGAACAACATGCCTTTAAAGAATGGCTACATTTATGACTTTTATTGAAAGAAGAATTTGCCTCAATCCAAACAGTATTTAAACATTTTGAAAATGTTGCAAAACAAAACATGAAGAAAAATTTTAAGCTGTATAAAGATACACTTTCAGCAAAACGAAATTCCTGACTGTGAGATCCTTGTTTCCTCTCAGATTGCACAGAGCAGCAAATTTGGTAGAACTGGCAGAGAAAGATCATGTACATAACTTCAAGAGAGTAAGTGACAGGAGGCACAGATTCATGTGTTCTATGACTTTTACACTTCCACCATTCAGAAACACACAGAAATTAGACTTGGAAAATAGAAAAATAAACATCTGACTACCCAAGAGCCAGAGGAATTCTGTGAATAGACTCTCTTTAACGTGTTCATTTTACAGCAGCATAGCATGGGGAAAAATTTACTCTCCTACACTGTCGAACATGGCAGGATATTTCGCAATTACAAAAAAGAAACTGCCTTCATTCATAATAAAAAAATTCTTCTTACCATAAAACATTTTCTTAATAACCCTGTCCCTTTAAAACATTCAGGCTTGTTCCCTCATATTGAAAAAGATTTTGCCAACCTAATTTACTACTTTAATATCCATTAGGTATATTTTACTATAAAACTAGAGGACGATTTACCTACAAATGTATCATCACTTTAAGTATAGATAATATCAAATGACTAAGCACTGATACTAGGCAGTAATGTCTCATACACAGCATTGCATGTTTCATGTTATCCCATTCTCTCAGCCCAACTGAGACAACCCCAGTCTCTATGCCTACTTGGGTAAATGCTATGTTCAGGGTTCTCTCACTTCATCAGCACAGAGGGGGAGGACTAGAGAGCAGTGCAGGAAACCAGGCTGAGGCTTCTGTAAATCAGTAGATTGCACTGTGTCATGCAGTACTATGAACTGGCCTTGCTCTTTGGTAAAAGATCACACACTCCAGAGACAAAAGCAAACAAAAACCTGCCTTGCCTTGGTGAAACTCCGGGCTACTTACAATACAGGAAGACGTCAACTGGGAAGACAGGACTTCACAGTATAATTTCTAAGACCTGCTTCCACAATAGTATGGATAACAGCATGACTCATTTTTTTTGCATTAGTGCTAAGAAAAGACTCAAATGCAACTTTTAGTTTTATTTTTAATGAAGAATCTTCAAGTCAACTAGTCTTTCAAACTACCTCTTTCAAAAGTAATCACAGCAAGAAGAAATTGCCTTTTAAACTCAGTAGATTAAGCACTTTGTGTTGTGATAACTCTGGATTGTTAAGAAAAAAGCTCTGTTACTACAAAAAATTTAAAACCAAAAGCCAACTCCCTCCCAAGACCCCACAAACACCCCCCTAAAAAAACCACAAACAAAAACTAAAACCCCAAAACCCCAAACAAACCAAAACCAAACACCCAACTATTCATGCTATACGTTGAATCCCTTTATGCAGTAAGAAAATAAATGGAAGTGTGATTCTCAGACAATTTAACATCACATTTACCTGATGATTTTTCACATCTCATGACAAAAGCAAAAGCAGGCTAAAGGGAAAAAGGATACTTACAAATTTATAACCTTATCCAAGTGGTGCTTTGAACAAAATTGTTGGCTGCTCTTGTCTTGTTTATGCTGACTCTGTCCCAGCTGAACGAACCTGTGAAAAGCAGTGGAGAGTAGAATAAATCTAAGAAATAAAAGAACTATCTCCCAAAAAATCATCAAACAAAAGAAAATGACACTAGAAATGTTTTTGTCTTGTTTTATAAGTCACTGATCATTGATGTACCTTCTGGTGAACAGGAGGGATTTTTAAAACTTTATAGTGCGTGCATGTGTGAACTCAGAACATCCTTTTAGCTTGAAAAAAGATTTGCTTATCAATTGGTGTCACTTAGCCATGGGATAGAGACAGGCCTCCCCTCCTAAGAGACAGGCTACAGTCAACTGCCTATGTCTTTTCCTAAGCAATCGGTCAGAGGAATAACCTATGGGAAAAATCAACAGAAAGCCCCTCAAGTTTCAGATTTAAGTCAGTCCTCTGCCAAATTCAGTCTAGTTTATTCATCTGAAATGCTGTTAGTCCAGATCACTTATTGACAAGCACAACCTTTTGGGACAATTTTACCATCTCCAAACATTTGCTGCAGACATTGCCAATGGAATATACTGTCATGGCTTTTTTTCTTGGCAATGAAGTGTAGCAAAATTTTTTTAAAAAATAGTTTATCACTAATCTTAGTCACTCAGGCTAAAAGGAAAAGTCAGAGGGTTTCAAATACATGTAGTAGTTATCTTGCATTCAATTTGTTCGCTCTCCAGCACATCTGCCACTGAAAAGAGAAGCAAATATTAGAGTGATTTAATACTTTCATTTTCTGAGGCAGAGGGTTTTTCTTAATAGTTAGGTGCCATTTAGCTTAAAAATTCTTACTGGTCTATTTCAGGAATATTTACTACATTTTAGCTGGCAACAATTACCAGTGCAAAACCAATCGCATGA